AAAAAAAAAAAAAAAAAAAAACACAGTAAAATTAATACCTTCTCAGTTTCGCATCGAAGCTAAAATTATATTACGAAAAAAAAAAACTTAATTTTCAAAAATTCATTAAAAAATTTTAGTTCGTAAAAAAATTATTTTAACTGCAAAATCTTATTTTTAAGACGGTAAACGAAAGCTTTTACTATTACAAAATGTATTTTAATTAATGTTTCTTGTATTTCTTTGAGCTCAAAAAAGGNGTATTTTAATTAATGTTTCTTGTATTTCTTTGAGCTCAAAAAAGGCTTATATTATTTAGTTTTATGTGTAATTACATTTAAATAATCATTTTTCTGAATTGATTTTTTTTATTATTAATATTACAATACATTTAATTATTATGATACGAGTATATATAACTATTCTGAATCTATTAAACATTAATTTTTCTCCAAACAATCTTTGCATACTGTTTAATATAGGCGATGTATTTATTACATGTTTTGTTCTTATTTGTNAGACGGTAAACGAAAGCTTTGTTCAGTATCATCGAATAGTGGAAATTCTTAATAGATTATTTATTTTTAAAATTTAATTGCACAGTCGGTGGCAAATCCACATAATTCCAATTCCACAATATTATATCGATTATAACATTGCATTTACGTTAAAAACGATATTTTGAAAAAAATACAAGTTCNGTTCAGTATCATCGAATAGTGGAAATTCTTAATAGATTATTTATTTTTAAAATTTAATTGCACAGTCGGTGGCAAATCCACAATATTATATCGATTATAACATTGCATTTACGATAAAAACGATATTTTGAAAAAAATACAAGTCCAAAAAAAAATTATAACGTTACAAGTCGTGTGGGGGTAAATATGACCCATTTCAATTTTTATGAATAATTTAAGTCATACATTTTTTTTTCGAAGGTATTTATTTATGAAAATCGATTTAATATTACTATAAAAACCATCTTCTAAATTTATATCTATGTATACCTTTTATGCAATATAATACATCCGTTTTTATTTATGTGGGGGTATGCCAGACCCCCACACGACTGTTTAAGGGTTAATAACCAGTTTTAAAGATTAACAGAGCAACCAACACCAAAATGTACAAACCAAATTAAAACAATTTTTGTTATAATTAATATTTTCTTATTATTCAGTTGAAAATCGATTCTTATCTATCTCTTATATCACTGACTAATAAAAAAATGATTTAAAAACATTTTAGCCGAAAAATTAATTTTAAATGAAATAAACTTTGTTTAAACTAGTTAAGTTAAAAAAAATGTTCAACTTATCTTTTAACTTAGCTAATTAAATTTATTATTTGGTAACTTTAAACTGTTAATTTATCGGCATTGTTCATTCTTAAATTAACTAAACTTGAGTTAATTATTTCGATTAACTTGTCCATCTTTGTCTCATATGTGATCGTTGAATGCTATCCCTAAAAAATGCATAAATGTGTACTTAACACATATATGTGCGTTTAAACATCAAAATATTGCAAATGCACAAAACCATAAAAAAATTAGAATGAAATTGAAACACCCAAAGTTTATTGCATAGGTACGGATAATGCCTGTAGTGACTGAGCATTAACTGCGAAAATAGCCAAATTCAAACTTGTGTACTATGTAGACACAATTAAAATAAAATAAAAATTGCGAGATGGTAAATTTAAACACATTTTTAGAAAATATTGCATGTAACAAAAAATATAATTTTTTTCATAATGATGGTGGGCAAAGGGGCTTTAAACTTTCTCTTGCTGTTAAGATGTAATACTGAAAAATAATTTGGATACGTCTAGTTAATTGTAAATTTAATGATCTTGTTATGAAGTAATTTTTAATAAAAATTATATTTTAAAACACATAAGTTTAAATTATTTATAATAGGTTAATGCAATTATCGTTATTAATATTTGGTAGGATTAAAGAGTTGAATATTGATTCAAAAAAAAATTTTGGGGCTACTTACTTTTTATTGATTATAGAAATTATGTTATAGAGATAATCTTTTTTATAACAATTCCAAAATAATAAGATCAGTGGGTGGTGCTCCCCCTGAAACTTATGAAGGGCTGTAATTTTTTTGATGCTTTCACGCAGAAATTATGTAAATGCGCCTCTGCTTCAAATTCAATCACAGAAATTTTAATTTGTAATATTTTTTCCAATAAGTGCAACTTACTTAATAGTACATTCATTATCAATTTTATAAAGAAGACGATTTTTACAATTTGTCATTTAGTACTGATTTAAATAACGTTATTCAATTCAAGCATTGGTCCCTGACTAAGACATTAAAAAGAGTTTGATTAACTATGTTAATATTTAAAAATGTCATTTTCTAATATAATTTCAGATGTTTTATCCAGTTTTAAATCGACATTAAAAATAATAATAATAATAATAAACACATCACAGTAAAATTAATACTTTCTCAGCTTCGCATCGAAGCTAAAATTATTATTAAAACTTAATAATAAGATATCATTTAGAAATATTTTTAAAATAAAATCTTAACTATTCTTCGCAGCTGATATAAGATAGGTTAGAATAGATTAGCGGGAAAAAGCCCCGAAAAATTCTTTGTTTTGGACCAAACAATAATTTTCTATAAATATTTTATACTAGTCATAGGGTATGACTGATAACTGCTACTAACAATTTAGTTAAAATCACAGTACTAGTGATACAACCAGTGATGGACAATATCAAATAGTTTTGACGACCAGGTTTATTCGATAGTTTTTTAAAAACTATTGATAGTTCAGTAGTTCAGTATCGGTTGTTCGATTACTAAATACTATCAAAATTTTTTTCTGTTGATAGTATTTGAAAATAACCGGATAAATCGATAGTTTTTGACTATCGAATTGTTCAATAGTATTAACTCGGTAGTGCTTACCATTTAACATTTAACAGTTTCTGATTTTATACTTTAGACATTTGCGTCATTGTTATTGCTTAAATTTAACTTTAAATCACGTTTATTTTTCTTTTTTTGCTCAAAAGATTAGAAGTTGTGAGTTAATTGTAATTATTTATTGGTTATTCATCATTAAAACATACGTAATATTTTATTAATAAGCTATAATAAGTATTTTAAATATTTCCATGTTCTATATAAATCAATTATTTTTATTGAAATTCAAAAATTAAATACCAAATCATAGTATAATGCATATCGTGATCACTAAATATTTATTTAAGTTTATGTATTAAAATTCTATATACTACACTTCTTATTTGAAACATATAACAAAACATTATTTTATATGTCAAATGAGCTATATTATTTAATCATGCAAATGTATTACTGTATTTTTCATATATTTATATAATTTTGAATAGAATAATGAATTAGTCAATTTTTAATTATAGTTAAAAATAATTTTTTAATGGAAAGCTACAAAAAATAAAATATGAAGATATAATTAATATATTATCAAATATTTTCAGTTAGTAAAATTATTTAACAGTATGTTTTATGTTTGAAAGAAGACTGAATAGGAATAATATTTTCTTATTTATTGAATTTACTATTTTGTAATTCTAAAATTATTATTGACTACTTAATTATGAACACTTGAAAATGTTTTATAATTCAAATATTATATTTACCAGTATTCTCTTTTATAACATGCTAATATCATGATTACTTTTTGTAATATTTTAAATTTTTTGGTAAGCTATGCATGGTTCATATTCTGTAGTTTATTTATAGATCATTGTTAGTGATAACAACTTTACACAGTGATCTAAGGGTTAATATGTATAATTTCAATAGGGCAATTACCTATTAGGTAGATACAGATAGGGATCACTTATTTTATGTAGCACTTGTTTCATACATTGTTGTTTTATAGAAAAAAATATGATGTTACTTGATGAAATTATAAATAATTTTTTTTCTACATCAATTGTAATTAATTAAATTTATTTTCCCTTTAAAGGAAATAGTAAATAATAATGTATTAATCATTAGGTAAACTATAATTCCTTGTAAGAACATTTTCATAATTCCTTAAAACAGTCAAAAGTCAGAAAATAGCATAAAATTTTGTTGTAGTGGTTATGATAATATTAAAATTTTGGTAGAAGAAAAATATTTCTGATTAAAATTTAATGGTATTGATATAAATAAAATGAATTACAAGAATATTACACATTGTTTCAAATAAAAATCATGTTTAGGCAAAATATATTGATACAGACTATTACATTTCTAAATATGATATGCTATATTGAAAAAAGACAAAATTATTGATGATTATTTTGAATTAACGTCATTTATTAATATTAACAGCTTAAAATGGAGAAATATTCAAGTCTATTAATTGGCAATAATAATCCTACAAAACGAATTAAGCTAACTTCAGGACAACCCAATGAAAGTAGTTCTACCATAAAAATGAATGTTTTACAAGAATTTTTAAACATAATAAACTTCTATTTTCAGTAAGTCAAAAATTATTATTTTGAGTGACAATGTAATGAAATATTTTGAGGAGTGTTTATTAAATTGCTTCCTTAATATATATTATTTACGATTTAATAAAGTGTATATTTTGAGATAGCAATTAACCCTTGTACTTCTCATTTATTAATGATAATTTGTATAGTTAAATCATTAAATAATTAATTGTCCTAAAGTTTTTAGGTTCTTCGTTTCAATTGTTGATAGGATTGTTACAATAGACTAAAATTCTTTTTAAATAAAACTTTTTAGGAGATTTACATAAAAAGGAAAAAATATATATTTTGATATTGTTATCAAAATATATATTAATATATATTTGTTGCGCTTCTATGTAAAGTAACTTCTGTTGTCGTTAATATTCTAGCAAAAATATATTTTCAAATACAAGTAGAGTTATCTAGTTGTAGTACCAAACCCCCTCCATTATTTAATGGTTCTTTTTACTGTGAGAAATCAGCACATTAATTAGCCCCCTAAGACCTATCTCAATTTACACCAATGTACAATAAAAAATATTCAATGAGTAATGAAATGTTAGTTTTCTTCAACAGTTTTTTTATAAACTCAATTTAAAAATTTAGATGTTCTCTAGACAAAAGGACTGAAGGATACACTTTTTTTCTGAAAATGTTTAAAGTAACTGCCATGTTGTAATGTATCTAATGAAAATTTTGCTGTATTTTGATCATAATAATTATAATCAAAATGAACATGTTGTCACTGTTATTATTATTATCACTCGTGTTTTTAAATTTTAAATTTTGTGCTTATATAATTTTGTTTGAAAATATTACTGAGGATAATTCCATAAATTTATAATTAGGACTTAAAATTTTTAGTATATATATGCTTATTTATATTATTTTTTGTTATTTGAAAGGTTCCAAAGAGATCTATATAGGCTGTAAATTTATTTTAGATAACCGATAAGTTAAATATAAAACTTTATGTTACATGTTATGATGAAGTTTAAAGCTTTTTTTTTTTGTTTTAGTTAAATAGTAGAGAAAAATTTTGGATGGTCAAAAAAATATCATTTTTTTTTCATAACATTGTAACAAAAAAATTATCAGATCTAAAGCTCATAGTAGTTTGGAATCGATTGGCTTGTCTTAATTAATATTTGCAATATTAAAACAAAAAATATTAAAGTTTTCTATTATATTTGTTTTAAAGGTTGTTATTTAAAAATATTATTTGGGTAATTTTAAATTATCTTAACTTAGCAGCATAATAAGAGCTACATTTTTAAATATAAAATTTCCTTGAAACCTATAGAAATGTATGTTATATGATATATATGAATTCCTTGACATTAATTTGGAACTTCGTAATTTTACATTTATTTAATCTTAACACAAAGATATTTCTAAATCTTTCCTCAGTATTGTGTAGCATGGCACAAAAAACTAATTTTTTGGTTTTTTAAAGTTGATTTTTTGAGAGTTTATAATAACAAAAAGTAGAATTTGTTACCATAACTTAAGCTCAACTTCAAGTTTGAAATTTTTATTATTAAATAAAAAATGTTGAGAATAAAAAAATAGTATTCTTAAGATTAATATGCATTCAGGAAATTGTATAATATAGTAATAACTATCTATGTATAGTAAATTTATCAGAAAATATTTTTTTGCATTTTTAATGTAATAGATAACTTAAATAGAAATAATAGTAATCATTATCTAGTAACTTCTGGTGTTTAAAAAGATTTTACAATTGAAATATTCAGAACTTAATAAATTTTAATGATTTAGTTTAACTAAAAAACCAATCATAATGTTGTTATAAAAATCTACTCAATTGAGTGTATTATAAAATTTGATTATAATTGTAAAAAAATTTTATAAAATTCAGGCGAAACTAAAAATAATTTTTTTTAAGATTTATGATTTATATAGCAACATGTTACCAAAAAAATTGGAATATTGTAGACTGTTAGTAACATATACAAATAAAGTTAAAAAATTAATATATTACAAAGTACAATTATTTAATATTGTAGTTGAAACCTATTATCATATCAAACCTAATTTAACAATAAATCTTTAAAAACATTAAAAATGAATGATTTAAGTAGTCTATATGGAGAATATAACTTTTTAATTGTTAAAGTGGAAATTTTTTCAATTTTTGACGGTAATTAAGTAGATAATGTCTATGATCATTTGATGTATCGTTAAAAAAAGATTGTCTAGTGAAAGTTGAGAAAATAAATAAAAGCCATAAAAAAAAAAATCACTTAGTTAAAAAAATTTAATATGAATAAGATATTTAAATGAGGGGAGACTATAGTGATAGGGTCCTAGATATTCATTAAAGTTATTGAATCTAAATAAGATAACATATAATAAAATGAGTCAAATAAATTTTTCTAACTCAAAAACTTTGTAAGGTATTTTAAAATAAAATAATACATAAAATTGAAAAAATTCACACAAAAATAGCATACGGTAGCCATTTTTACCGGGAAGACAAAATGTAGTCCAAAATTTTTTTTTTATATAATAAAGAATATTACATAAGCTTTAATTTAAGAAATATATAAAAGTGTCAGTATTTCCAAAACGCTTTCAAAAGTTAAATTGAAAAATTACATTTTTTTGAAAAAGTTGTCATTTTGAATCCATCTGTGGACGGGTAATGGGTCAGATTTATTAAAAAAATATATATACCAAATTATATTTATTTGGTCATTTTTGATAAAGTTATGGCAGTTTTAAGTAAAAAAAAATTGAAAATTAGCGATTTTTAAATTTGTAATATTTTTGGATATTTTCTATTTATGAGGAACGAGGGAAATTTTTTCAATTTTTGAGGGTAATGTCTTTGACTAATTTAATTTGTGATCTCTTGACGTATTGTTGAAAGAAATCTGTTGGGTGAGAGCTGAGAAAAAGTAGTAACAGACAAAAAATAAAACGCATAGTAAAATTAATACCTTTTCAGCTTCACATCAAAGCTAAAATATTTAAAAACATAATGTTTTATTTGTTTTCAAAGAATTGAAAACTTTGAATTGAATTTTTTTAAAAACCGTCAGTTTGTATATAAGTCTCTTGTATGGAGAACACCTTAATTGTAATTATTCTTATGATAATACTTATTGCCTAAATTTTAATTGTTTAATTTTTGTGGAGCATTATTTATTCATGAATTAATTTGTATTGGAATTTAAATAATATCTATATTTTTAGAAAAAATATGTTTTGTGACATATCTATAATGACTGATGATGGAACAGAAATAAGAGCACACAAAATAATTTTGGCTGCTGCAAGTCCATATTTTTCAGTTATGTTTAATAGTTATTTTAAAGAAAGTAATGAAGAAATTATAAAAATCAAAGAAATTGATTCTGATATATTCAAATCTATTGTTACTTACATGTATACTATGAAATTGGATTTAAATGAATCAAATATTAAGGTGTGAACTAGAACATTTTTTATAGTATATTAAATTATTTTCATGTTTAAATATAAATTATTTTATTCAGAAAATTTGTAAAGCTGTGAATTATTTTGATTTGTGTTATGGAAAAATTATGTGTTGTGATTATATTAAAAAACATATATGTCCATCAAATTGCATCATATTCATGGAAAGTTCTAAATCTATGTCAGATAATGACATATATAAATACTGCTTTCATTATATATTGAAACATATTACGTAATAATAGAAAATTAAATGTAGCTTATTTTTTACATATACAAAAAAGTAATAAAATTTATTTAACTATAGATTAATTATGGAATCAGAAGTAACATTAAAACCCTTGTATGAATTACAGTTAAATGATATTGTTAATATCATATCAAATAAACATTTGGAAATAAATTCAGAAAATAAGGTATTTTTAATTTTTTTAAGGTGTTTTTTTTTGTACTGGAAATAGAGTTTTGTTATTCGATTCTTTTTTAATAAAAGTTTTTAAATAGTGCTCTTCTAAGCCCTATTAATAAGTTTTTTCTAAATGTTAGTTTTAAATTATTTAGGCATATCCCATTAAATACTTAGGTTAAAATAAATGTGTTTGTTTGTCATATTTATATTAAGTCATATGATTCATAACATAAGTCATATAATGTATCAAAGAAAAGAACTTATTTTTTTTTCATCTTCTATTATTTATGCAGTTTTGAAATCGATGTACAATAAAAGCTTCAATTTAAAATGTATACAAATCATTTCTATAAAATATTTATTTAGTTTTTATCTTACTGGAAATTCAAAAATGTTCTAGTTATTTAAATTTTCTTTTATATACATAGGCTAGGTGCCATTTTCAATGAAATTGAGTGTGTTACGGAAAATATAGTGTGTCAACGCTAAATAAAAAAATGCAATTTCTGAAAATTTTTAAAAATGAGACTTAGCTCCCTATTTACTTAAAGTCTTCATATATATATATAAATATTCAAAAATAAATTTATGAAACTTAAGAAATAATTGTATTTAATGAGCTCATATATTTTTATTTTAATTATTACCAAGTATTTCATATATAAATTTGAATATGTCTAAATACTGATTTTCTTAAATATTTTTATACTAAATATTGTTTTCAATTTACAATTGAAATGAATTGAATCAATTAATTAATACTGGATCATAATAAGTTCTTATATATTAATTTGTTTAGGTTTTTGAAATAATTACTGGTTGGATTGAATACAATAAATTAGAAAGAACTGTTTTTCTACCAGATTTGCTGAAACATTTGAGATTATCACTGATACCAAATGAAGAATTAAAAAAAATAATATCAACACCAATACTATCACAGCATTCAAATAGTAAGTACTTAAAAAAATTCCTTACAAAGGAAAATGAGAAAGAAGTCTAAAGACTTGCAAAAGTAAGAGAAAAAAGGTCTAGAGATTATCACTATGTAAGTTGTATAAAAAGTGTTGATACTATTGAGTGATGATGTAAAAAAAAGATGGAAAAAGTATTTTGTAAAATTACTGAATGAGAAATATCCCAAAGAGACATTAGAGGATATCTCGTGGAACAAGGCACTGGTACATTTAATGAGTGAGAAAGAGGTATGTGAGGCTGTGGCAGCAATGAAAAAGAATAAAGCAGTAGGACCAGATAAAGTGCCAGTAGAAGTATGGAAAATATTAGGCGGTGTTGGCATAAGGAGGTCGAAGAATCTTTTAAATAAAATCATATTAGAATGGAAAATTCCTAATAAATGAAGGAATAGTATTATAGTGTCAATATTTAAAGGTAAAAGAGACATTTAGGAGTGTCCAAATTATAGAGGCATAAAGCTTTTATGTGTCATAGTATGAAAATTTGGGAAAAGGTAATAAATAAGAGAATAAGAAATGAGACATCGGTATCTCAAAAACCAGTCGGATTTATGCCTGGTAAGTCAACCATGAAGCCATTATTTTATGTGAGGCACTAATAAAAAAGTTTAGGGACAGAAGAAAAAGGTATGTATGGCATTTACATATTTCAAGAAAGCGTATGATAGAGTACCGAGTGACGTTTTAAAATGGGCATTAGTGAGAAAAGGGACATTATATAATAGAGGATATGTATGATGGCACTTGTACCCAGGTAAAAAGCGTAGGAGTAACAGAAGGTTTTTGGGTAAGAATTCTGCTTTAAGCCCTTACTTATTTTCTATTTATAACACGCTTATATTAGTGTCACCTGTATGTATGTATATTTGTAACTCTCCAAACGCGTTATCGCATATTCCGTCGTCTAGACTAGACTGTTATAACGCATTCACCCCACCCCACGCCTTGGTCACCCCACGCCTTGGTCACCACATGACGGCACATTATTTCTATAAAAATTTATTTTTAGTTATCGTACCCGTACGCACGTGCTTGTCATCAATATTATATATATATAAACAAATTTTTATTTTGACTGACCATTATCATCCGCGTGTCTACGGCTTACGTATATATTCCTACCGCCGTTTATACCTCAGGTATAACGTTAGTCCCAACCGCCCGCCCAAAAACACGGCTATACCTAATGCATGATACGTTTACGTACTTAAGTCGCATTATTTGTATAATTTTGTATATACAGGGTGTTCAGTAAGTCAGGAAACGGGTTTCTATTGTTCTCATTGTTACAAACAATGAATACCCTGTATATTAACGCCTTTATCACAATAATATTAGTATTTTTGTTCATAATTATTTAAAAAATTATTTTTAACTTTTTAGTTCGATGTGCTCTAAAAGCGTGTTTTTTAGTTTTTTTTAACTATATTTTAATGGATAAAATTACTAAAAAAATACAATGACAGGTGCCGTGGTGCATGTTGTTCGCTGACAATATAGTGTTAGTAAGAAAAAATAGGTTGGATATTAATCAAACGCTAGAGGTGTGGAGATCAGCTCTTGAAGAAAAGGTTTTAAGAATAAGTAGGAGTAAGACAGAGTATATAGAGTACGAGTTTGACAAAGAAAAACACGAGGTAGGTGAAATAAGTAGTTTAGTGACAATAGGGGCAAAGACGTGATAGGAGAGTTCGAAAACTTTAGGTATTTAAGATTACTTGTGCAAAAGAGTGGTGGTGTTGACGAGGATGTAAGGCACAGGATTAAGTGTAGGTGGTTGAAGTCGACAGAAGCGTCTGGTATATTATGTGATTTTCCTCGTTCCCTATAAATTGGGAAAATTATCCGAAAATTTTAATTTTTTAAATTTGGTAATTTTTGATATTTTTAAAACTTTTTTTACTTAAAACTGCCTTAACTTTTTTTTAGTGTATCTGTTAGTAAATATTTATATAAAAAAGTTTTTAAATAAATATACTCTTATTTTATTTTTTTTTTTTTTTTTTTTTTTTTAGCTTTGATAAGTATGATGAATACATTTATTGATGTAAAAACAGATTCAAATATTTTTGAATTAACTATGAGACGAACTCCATATATTTCAAATGAGCCAAATGTGAGATCATTATTAAAATTAATATTCTATTTTAATCAAAATTGTTCAACTTATAAATTAAATTGTTTTTAAATAGATTATATTTGCTATAAGAAGTCATTTAAAAGAAGAATACTCTTATGAGGAGTATTTATTTGTTGATAGTTTAAATCCAAGCTGGAAAAGATTAGATTTTTCTTTATTTGGTCCTGTTGAAAAAAAGTCAACTACATTAATTCTTAATGACAGCACATTATTTTCAATTGGTGGTCAATATGGACCAGTTACAACATCATCAGTTTGTACACTAGAGCTTAATTCATTGGAGAAAAAATGGAAACTTACATCAAACTTGCTTTCCCCTAGAAAAAATTTTGCTGTATGCACTGATGGCAGATATGTTTATATTGTAAGCAATTGAAGAAAAAAAATTTTTAATTTCAATTATCCTATATTGCTACTAAAAAAGTTGATGAGTCAACCAAAAACTATAAGTTCTAACAATAATGAATGGATTGTCCATGGAAAAATCTTGTTAAATATACCAAATTGATCATCTTAAAGGTTTTCTATATTGAAAAAAATTGTTGAAAAATTATCATTATTAAATCAGGAAATTGAGATTATTAAATCAAAAGTGATAGTTTGAAACACTACATTGCTTTTTATTGAAATTTGTACCTAGTCTGAGACAATAGTATTATATATACATACTGTTGAACTTAACTATTGTAGAAAATTTATATAATGTGTTTTAAAATTTAAAAAAGAAACACTTGATGTATTTTGTTTAAATAATCTGTAGATAAAGTAAATTTTTTTTTTTTTTTTTTTTTCAAAGAGATAACCTTTTGGTCTAACATTTTCTTAACATTTTTTACATAGTGCTAAGGTAAGAAAAGGTATAATAATCAGTAAACTTTATAGAAAAGTAAAATTAACAATAAGTCTTATCGTTAAAATATTTACATCTTCTGGCATTTTACTTTATTATTTACTAAGTTCAAACTGATATTTCATCAGTTTATCAACCTCTGTAGTTATTTTAGCTAATGTTTGTGTAAAATTATCACTATCATTCTTAATTGCTTGAGCATATTGAACACCATTCTTCATGTGCAAAATTTTATTTGATTGTATACCTTAAACAGTCGTCATTTTTAACAAATTAACTTTTAATTTTGTTGTTTTATAAGCTCAACAACCTTAAATTAGCTGTATGACTGCCACAATTAGCACACTTCACTTTATTTTTCTTAGACTTAGGATAGTCTATAGACTTACGTTTTTTACTGCCATTAATACACACTGGTGTTCTATGATAATATTTATGGGTATGATTATAAGATTGACATTTTTTGTACTGCGGGACTTCTTTTTTCTTATTTTTTCAGATATTCTATTATAACCTAATGTTAGCATAATTCTTTTACTCGAAAAATATCTTATGTTTGTTCGCAGTTTTAATTCCACAGGTAATCTTTTATATTTATTGTTATTAATTTTTGAATCATTTCTTTTTTTCTATTTGAACATTAGTGATGTTTTGTATTGCCAAATAACCCATGTCTGTCAGATCACATTTAATAACATTTTGTTTATCATAACTATCAGTTTGTAGTTGGATATTATAACTTTAAACTTGTTTTAAGTTTTAACCGATGTTATTCAATTTTTCCTTCATATTACTAAACTGATATTCATCACGTGTTTGAACTTTTATTTCACCATTAGCTAAAGTCTTTATTAATTGTTCATTATCTTTTTCTTCTATCGTCAAATTGATCATTAACTACACATAGTATAATCTGTGGTGGTTTGCAAATTTATAGAAAATTTCTCTCATTTATCACTTTAATGATTTTCTTTTATAGACTCAACAATTTCTTTTGAGATTCATTGACACATTCAAATATTTGTTTTTATAATTTTGTATTACTATCGTGAAGTTTACTTGTTTTTTTTTAACATTTCATTGTTATCTTTTATTTGTTTTAAAATACATTAGCTAATTGTTATGTTAATATATGGCAAGTTGCCATTAAATCCGTTGCAATATTCGTGTTAATGAAATTTAATCTAATGCACTCATGACAAAACTTACAAATGCATTTATGAATTTAATGTAGACTCTAGAAATAAACAAATATGTTGCTTGTTTGGCTAGAAAATATCAATTAAACTAAAATTTAATTATTATCATTAATATTGTTTTGTCTTTTTATTCACAATCTCTTTAAAACGTGTACTGGTACCAAACCCAACCCAACCAACAATAGTGCAATCTTGACTGTACTACTTTTTTTACATAATAGATAACTATAGAATGTAATACATACAAATTTTCAATGAAATTGAAATTTCATTATAATATTTTTATATACAGAGTGATTGACTAACTATGCCTCACACATTTTCTTTAAAAATATTAATGTTATATCATATATGTAATTATTTTATTTGTTATAAATTTTTGTTAAGTTACTTGATAAGAAAAATAAAGATTCCATCTTCATCCCTTAATCCTTAAATCAATATCAACTTTAGTCTTTTAAATAGCAACCAAGTTTTTTTTTTTTTTTTTAATCTTGTTAAGCATAAAAAAAAAATTTTAATTTTAATAAAATCTAAACAAGATATCACTATTTAAAGTTTAGAAGATTTAACAAATAAAACAGCAGTCGAGTAACATTAATTTTTAGTGTACCGATAAAAACTATCAGTGTATAGTTCTCTGTTTACGACCCGTTAAATTTGTGTAATACTCACGTCCCCTGACTTAAATGAATCATAGCACGCTGATAATTGAATAAAATAAAATAAAAAAAGACAACTTATATTTTCAGAGATAATTTTTGAGGCATAGTTAATCACTCTTTATTATAAATGTATTTAAAATTCATAATGTAATTTAATGTACAAAATATTACAAATCCTAATTATGATTTAAATTTCATGTATTTTTCCATAAAATTATTTATTAAATTTTACCACTTATTTTGATTATTTTGTTTTAATACAGTATTTAATCTAAATTATACATTTTATTAGGTTGGAGGTACAGACGAATGTGATGATGTACTAAATTCAGTGGAATATTATGATACTTATATTAAAGAATGGAATTCAAACATCTCGAGCATGTCATCTGCCAAATCTTATTGTAGTGCTATAAGTTATAAGGACCGTATTTATGTTGTAAGATGATATAAACTTTTATTTATTACTATACTCTGTACAACTTTAGAACATACTGAACGAAAATTCATCCAAAAGTTACCCATTTGAACATGTTCTTAAGTTATCTCAGAGTATAGTTATATAAATGTTAAATACAAAATAATTCAGTTAAATAAAATTGATACCAGAAAAAAGCTTATTAACTTAAGATTTAAGTGATTTGCACTTATATTTTATATTATTATATAGTATTTAGAAAAATATTTGCTTTATGACCATATATAATAAACAAAATATGCATTAATTATAAATTTTTACTACCAACTTTTTACTATCTAAGTGCCTTATGTGTATCTATGACTGCTCAATCCAATTTAACATTTAACGTGGCTTGAATTCATTTTCACAGTTCATATAATATATGTATTTATGGATAGTACTTATAAAATATTTGACATCAGAGATTATTTTTTATTTAGCTTTTTATTTATTGTTCATGTATTTGTTTAATTTATAAATAATCTAATCAAATTTTTTTTAATCTATTAAATTTAATAACAATACCTCAAATAATCTCGCCTAAAATAATGAATTATTTTTGTTTAAATTAATGTAATGTAACATTCAGTAATCCAATAATTATAATAGTAATTTTTATATTTTAATTATTTTTTCTAAATCATTGAGCTTGATATTACTTGATAAAATTTTGCTTTGTAGTTTGGTGGAGAAAATTGTGGCAATACAATCAAAGATGTAGAATATTACGATTTTGAAACCAAAATTTGGACACTACTAGATCCAATGCCAATTGGAAAATCTCGTATGAGTGTTACAGTTATTGGAAACATAGCATATTTCATTGGTGGTGAAGTTTATGATTTTTTATCAGAAACGTAATGAAAAGCTCTATTTAATTATATATATTAATAAAAATGTGTGTCTAATTTTACACACAAGTAAGCAATGCTACATAATGGAGTTTTAGATAGAAATAAGTGTAGTAGTAGGAAAATAATTAAAATTTACAACACAATATTTTATAAGGATACTATTAATGCATACCATTTATCTCCAAAATATAATTTTTTCAAATATTTAAAAATGCATGGTTTATGTATTGTAGATCACAATGCCTCATTTTTAACACGCTTATATTAGTTTCACGTGTATGTTTGTTGTTTGTTGTTTGTCGTTTGTAAGTTTGTAACTCCACGCGGCACGTGTTATTATGTCGCGTATCCCGTCGTGTATGACCTTGAGACTAAACTGTTGTAACGCATTCGCCCCACCCCGCTTACCACTCGTAGAGAACAATATTTTCCAACCCGTAGACGCGCGCTTATCATCAATTATATATATATATATAACAAATTTTTATTGTAATTGACACAGCCCCGCGGCGTAAAACGACGCGGTGCAAAGTCCAGCAAGTGCCGCACGGCCGACGTCCCGCCGCTATACCGTAGTNCCAGCAAGTGCCGCACGGCCGACGACGTCCCGCCGCTATACCGTAGTCTTCTTCCCATTGTCAAAATAACATCGTCAACAAACTGATCCGCACTCGCGCACCGTCGTCATCTACGCTGCTAACCTATTGACGCCCGAGGATCACGCCAGACATCGCGTCTTCGACGCCAGCAAAAGTGCCGCGATATTATGCGAAGATTATATATTCCTACCGCCACCGCTAATATATATATATATATATATATATTAATATTTGTACGTATATACGTATATGTTAATATTCATTTATATATTCCTACAGCCGACGCCTCTGCTGCCGTATATGCCTCGTGTATAATGTTCCCTCCGCCATGCCCGCCCACATAAACACGGCTATACCTCATGCATGATACGTTTACGTACTTAAGTCCCTTTAAATATATATATATTCTAATTACTATTAAAACTTATATATTAATACACTTTATTCTCATTAAGAGATATGTAGTGTATTCATTCCGATTACGGAGGATGATTCTCGTATCGTTATTTTTCGTCACTACCTCCACGTTACGCGCCTGCTGCTTTCCTTGGATGTGGTAGCCGTTTCTTAGACTCCCTCTCCGGAATCGAACCCTTATTTCCCGTTACCCGTTACAACCATGATATTGATATTAACTACTATCATAACATGAAACTAAAAAGTGATTAATAAATATAGTTTAAAAAAACTAAAAAACACGCTTTTAAAGCACATCGAACTAAAAAGTTAAAAATAATTTTTAAAATTAACTTAAAACAATAATGAACGAAAAATACTAGTATTATTGTGAAAAAAAGCGTGGGTGCTTTATGCCATATTTTTTGTATATTGAGCGCCTCACGCTTTTTTTCACAATAATACTAGTATTTTTCGTTCATTATTGTTTTAAGTTAATTTTAAAAATTATTTTTAACTTTTTAGTTCGATGTGCTTTAAAAGCGTGTTTTTTAGTTTTTTTAAACTATATTTATTAACTTTTTCTTTTTACATGTATTATCACAACAATATTGTCATTTTCAATGCACTAATAATGGTTTCTAAATATTTAAAAAGAAATTAATTTTAGAGATATTATATTGCATTGGAAATGACAATATGAAAATCAAATACTGATATAATTTTTAAAATCTAAATTTAAATGATAGTTTTAATATAATATTTGAACATCAATAGTAATTTTCTGTATCTAAAGTAATTTTTTAATATTCAAAAAATTCATTAGATTATCATTTGGATAACAAGTGATTTAACAGCGAAACATTTATTGATTAATGATTTATTATTGATATTAAACTAAAGCATTTTATTTAGAAAAGGGTTACATATGCAAATGCTTGTGATAGTTTAATATTGGGTTTTTTATGTTTACTATCCATCCAAACCTCTCTAAGAGAGCTTACTTCAATATACTTCAATGTATATTTATTTATTTATTTATGGGTATACGCCCATTGGGCTCAGAACAGTTTACATAATTAATACAGGTAAGATAACAGTTAAGAAATCAGAATTACAAATTTAAATCAGTTCATACAGAAGTTATTATACAATTATTGATAAACAAGAAATTTAGAAATAAAAAATGACATAAACTTATACTAATTCAATTAATTACATAAACATCTATAATTAATGTAATTATTAATGGTTAAAATCATTAATGTAATGATTTTAACCTGGTTAAGTTATTGTAAAAAAAATCAAAATTATTTATCGAGTTGCCTAAAGTTAATCTTATCTTTGTAAGATTTCTCATTTTTTAGCACTAGCAAAACATTAAGAGAGGACGTTAAACAAAAACACAATGTATTCTTTTTTCCTCGCCTTCATCCCAACTACTTGGGGTCGACCAAAACTAAACTTCCTTGCACCTCATTTTTGGTCTTCTACCTCTTATTCCTTCAACATTCATTTCTATAACAGTTCTTACAGCTTCCGATTCTTCTCTTCTCATAACATGACTATCTAAGTCCATTATGACCAAACTATCTAAGTCTATTTTCTCTCACCTTATCTACGATTGATGCCACACTTATACTCTCTCTTATATGTTCGTTCCTTATCCTACCTTCTCTAGTTACTACACTCATTCTCTGCTCAACCGCTCAACACTCTGAATCATACATCATAGCTTGTCTCACTACAGTTCTATAGAATCTAACTTTTAGCCCCATTGGAATTTTTTTATCACATAACATACCAGACGCTTCTCTTCACTTCAACCCAATGTGGTATCTGTTTTTTTTTTCCTGCCAAGAAATTTTTATAAGGTCAAAAACCTTATAAAAATGTTCAACATTACATAATTTTCATTACTTAGGTGCTATTTTTGGGTGTATAAAATGCTAATAAAATAGATAACTAAACTATAACTAGCTAGATTTTTACAACTAATAATATATATTAATAGATTGCACTTAGGCATATTAAATACTTTAATTATGATCCCTTAAATCTGAGGATACTCCTCTATATTCATTGCTTTATCCTATTTAATATAATTAATTAATTATTTAAATATTTTTATTATTACTTAGCTTAACTACAGGAAAGAGTGCTTTTGCATTCAACTTGGATAGCTTAAACTGGATTCGTTTACCAGATTTAATTCAAGAAAGAAGTCTAACTAGTTAGTAACAATAATTTTCAACCAATAAAAAAAAATATCTTTATGAGAAATTGTTTTCTATAGATTCTGTTGGAATACATAATGATATATTTGTATTTGGAGGTGTGGATGATGAAGATCTACCAGTTAAAATTTGTGAAAAATATATTTCAGAAAAAAAGGAATGGGTGATGGTTGATTCAGCTACTATCAAGTATACTGACCATAATGCAATTTTTATTAATTATGAACAGATAAAAAATCAACTTAAAGACATGGACTTAGAAAAATATTTTACTAGATAAAAGCACAATGTAATATTTGTTTTAAAAAGGCATTGTTATTAATATTTTTCTTTTAATTTTTAAGTTAGAAATTTAATTATTTTGTTTAATTTTGTATCTTTTATTACTATTTTTTTTAATATCAATGAGTTCTTATTAGACTGTGACGAGTTTGTCATTAACTTGGTTATTATTAATTTATCATTAAGCTTTATTGTAATAATTGAATATTCAGCTTTAATTATATAACATTTTTATTTTATTGTATAATTATAAATATTCTACATGTACAAAACTGAACATGTATATGTGTACCAAGTCTTATTACTAATTTTTTTTTTCATCTAAATATTTTTTTTATTTATAAAAGTTAAATAATGTTATACAAATAAGTTTTTACGTGTTTCTTTCCCAATAAAGTAAAACATGTTGAATAATTATTTATTCAACTAGAGAAATTATTTTATTGATTTTAATTAATGCTATGATACTTTACTATAGGTTTAAATGGATATCATAAGTAGCTTAAAGCTCGAGATACTCAATGGTAATTATTTACAATTCTTAACATAATGTATTGGCTGCTCAATATAACCATTAATTTTATTTGTTGTGAAATTACGTTAGGATATTGCAATAGATAAGATATTAAAGTAAATCATGAATTTTAATTAAACCAATTTATCAAACTTTTTATTTCATTAACGGTTCTAAGCTACTTTAGTAATCTATGTATATTTTAAATTTATTATATAAAACTTAATTTTTTTAAAATTGACGGACAATTTCCAAATTAATGTGTTAAAAAATCAACATTTTTTTAAAGGAAAAACTGCTAAAGAAAAAGTTACTTTTACTATGTCTCTATTTTATATTATTATTTGCATTTTTGCAACATTCATAGAATACTGTTATTTTTGCAAATATGTTTACAGTAAACAATATTTATCATTTTTTTTTTCGAAAAATCAAAAAATGTAGGTATAGCAACTTAAATTATTAAAGTATTCAATTGCTTTGGAACTCAATTATAACTTCTGTAAGTGTTCATTAAATTATAAACTTATACATAAATAATCGATTAAATTAGTTAACTACTAATTTTTTACTAAATTAAATTATAATAAAAAAACGGTAGCACAGTGGGGTCGCGGCATAGTGGAGACATTGCATAGTTGGGTCCAGTATAGATTTAATCTGACAGTGATTAAAATCACTATCATAAGAAACGCTTCGATGCAAATCTGTAGATAGTGTTTAATTTTAAAAAATTGATGGATAATTGCAAAAGCAACATCAACTTCTATTAAAATAAAATACAAAACCCATAATTATCATACAAAAATAGTATATTTTTCAATATGGTAGCCATTTGCGTATAGAAGATAGATCGTCGGGACAAATTTTTTTTTTTCATTTTGTAGTACATAAAATAAGCTTTAATTTTATATATGTTTAAAGGACGCAGTATTTCCGGAACATTTTCAAAAATTAAGTTGAAAAAATTAATTTTTGTAAAAAGTTGCCATTTTAAATCCCCCCCCAATGAGCAGGTTAAGTGATAGATTTTCAAAAAAATGATATCAAATGAAAGGTAAATGTCTAAGGTTAANTGCCATTTTAAATCCCCCCCAATGAGCAGGTTAAGTGATAGATTTTCAAAAAAATGATATCAAATGAAAGGTAAATATCTAATGTTTTAGTATAAAAAAAATTATGTTGATTTTTCAAAAAGTTATGGAAGTTTTAAGAAAAAAAAGTAAAAAAGTTTCGAAAATTAGCGATTTTTAAATTTGTCATTTTTTTGGATATTTCCCCCATTTTCGGGGAACGAGGGAATTTTTTTTAATTTTTAAGGGTAATGTCTTCAACTAGATACGATTTGTGATCTTTTGATGTATTGTTAAAAGAAATCGGTCCAGTGAGAGCTGAGAAAAAGTAGTGACAGACACAAAAAAAAAAAATAAAAATAAAAAAAAAAATAAACACATCATGGTAAAATTAATACCTTCTCAGCTTCGCATCGAAGCTAAAAAACGCATACAATGTTATAATCTTAATTTAATTCTAATATATAATAATAATTATTGAAAAAGGGTTAATACATTTTATTGTTATAAATAGTAAAATTTAAAATATTTGACTTCTTTATTGATACAATATTATTATAACAGTAAAGACAACTATTAGAAAATTAAAAAATAACTTTTTCAGCATATCTTTCTCAAAACATATCTAGTATATATACCAAACATAACTATGAATTAAAGAGTCAAAAAAAATTTTTTATTTTATTAAATAAAAATTCATCACACTGGGAATGCGACATAGGTGGGGCAAGTATAGATATCTGACAGTTATTAACATCTTTATCATAAAAACATTTCAATGCAAAACTGTAAATAATTTTAATTTTCAAAAAGAATTTTTTTCAATTTTTGTGAATACTATCTTAAGTTGGACGCGATTTTTGATCTTTTGGTGTATTGTTGAACAAAAATTATTCACAGAGAGCAGAGAATAAGTGCCAACAGACACAAAAAAACGCATCGTTGTAAAATTAATATCTTTTCAGCTTCACATTAAAGCTAAAAAAATGTCAATATACTAATCTAAAAAACATAGGATTTATTGGATCCAGTAGGTACCACTCTTTAAGTTCGAAATTAATTATTGCAATAATCCAATGATTCAACTTTAATAATTCTACATGCTGCGACATAATAGCTGTACTATTTTTGTTTAAATTATATCTAACTTAATGCTTTTTATTTAATTCTGTACTACATAAAATTTCCATTACTTGGTTACAGTATAAAATTCTAAATAATTCCTGATTTTTTAGTCTTTTTACTAGAACTCTCGCAATTAACATTGGACGAGCATTCTGATATAAATAATGTTACTTAAAACAAGATTTTCTTTTTAATTTAACTTTCATTATTTTAATGTCAGTCAAATTTTATGCACTTCGGGGTAAAATGCTGGTTGTTCTAGTTAAATCTATTGGAATGTTAATAACACTGCCTTGAAATTTTAATTTCCTTTCTACATGGAGACATTTAAATACTTTCATAAACGGTAATCGAAAGGAAACCATTTGTTTTTCTATAATATATAGAATCTATAATATATATAATATAATAATAGAATCTATATGAATAAGTTCTTTTACTGATTGTAGAACATGATTTAATTGAAACACATTTCCAACATATAATGGTGGCATTTAAGATATTTTTAGATTGCTATAGCAACTAGTACATACTAGTATATATTGTTTATCATTATAAGCAATATTCATATTTAGATTTTTTTCTCCTTTTGGAATTTAATTATACTACTATGTAATCTTAATCGACTACAAGAAACACAGGTTTCAGGTAAACCTTGTGTTTTTCTTAAATTGAACTCAGTTAACAATGTTTCCTATTTCTACTTTTTAGCATTTAGTTATTGCTTTACAAGTAATCTTATGAAGCTTTACAGAGTGTTTATTAAATTAGGAAACAGGTCAATTGTTACAAACAATGAGAACAATAGAAATTCGTTTCCCTTCTTACTGAACACTCTATGTGACAATAAATATAGTTTAAAAAAACTAAAAAAAACACGCTTTTAAAGCACATCAAACTAAAAAGTTAAAAATAATTTTTAAAATAATTATGAACAAAAAATACTAGTATTATTGTGATAAAAGCGTCGGGCGCTCAATATACGAAAAATATGGCACAAAGCACCCACGTTTTTATCACAATAATACTAGTATTTTTTGTTCATAATTATTTTAAAAATTATTTTTAACTTTTTAGTTTGATGTGCTTTAAAAGCGTGTTTTTTTAAACTATATTTATTTTTTACTTTTTAGTTTCATGTTATGATAGTAGTTACTATCAATATCATGGTTGTAACGGGTAACGGGAATACAGGTTCGATTCCGAGGAGGGAGTCTGAGAAACGGCTACCACATCCAAAAAAGCAGCAGGCGCGCAAATTACCCACTCTCGGAACATGGATGTAGTGACAAAAAATGACGATACGGGAATCATACCTCGTAATCTAAAAATTTTAATTTAGGAAGGTCCTCATTGTGATTTGAAGAAGCATAGATGTTAAGTTTCTTCTCTTTAAAATTAATATTTTTTTCAAAGCAAGAATTCAGCTAATTGTTAAAAAAAAAATTTTATGCCTGTCAATTTTCGGATAGGAATATAATAATATTATATAAAATATAATATCATAATTATATATAACATAATAATACCGACTATTTACATGTTGTCTGTGCTAAGACTTAAACTGGTCCCTCCCTAAAAGTCTTTCTACAAATGGGGTAACTTGATTTTGTAAATCAACTGCTCGACATTTTTTTTTAAATTTATACATTTAATTAAGTTGGTACTGCTGATTAGGATCACGGTCATACGGCTTATCTTGAACAGCTGACGGTATACCGTTTCTCTGTGGAGTGGAAAAAACAAACAAGAACGAATGGTAAAACACACTACAAACAATATGATACATTAGCGTCGACAGTAAACAGGAAATTTAAAGCTATTGACAGCGATAATTTTTTTCTTTGTTTCAAATACTTTTATATAAAATTTGAAAATGTCGAGTCATATTGACGACTACGAAGAATACAATTATGATGCGGATAAATTAGTAAATGGCGGACATAGTGGTAAAGTATTATTAACACGATTGCATTAAAGTTTTATTTAATATTAAAAAACGTGTTTTTTTGTACCGAAAGGTAAAAATAGGAGCAAGAAAGAGGCTAGTGAACACACGAACCATTTTGATCCAAGTGGACATTCTAGGAAATTGGCTGCTAAATTGCAAAACACCGAGTCCAACAGAAAAGAAGAAAATTTAAAACCGCATCCTATTACAAAGAAATAACTTGTCATTTGATTCTTTTTTCCGTTTAAATATTTAAAGTTTAATAATTTACTAACATATTAACTGCTCAGAATTACTGATTTCAATAAAGTTTTTTTTTCAAAGAGCTTTTTTTTTTTGTAAAAAACGTATTAAATTACCGAAAAGTTAATCATTTTTTTTTCTTTAATCTTTTATGTTCTATTTTGAAATGTTATATATTTTTAAACTATATTTCAGTATCAATGATACTTTAATACATTTTTAATAAATGTATATATATATATATATATATATATATATATTACTTTTTTGTTTTTATTTGATAATTTAAGTATGTGTTATTAGTCCAATATACTATGATGAGTATTTTCAGACTTTTAAGGAACCAATTTAAAGAGCAAATTTCCTTTAACAGTTTTAACATTGAATTCTATATAATTAATTACTTGCATATAAGATTTTTGCCACAAAAATTACTAAAGTTGCATATTATATTTCAGGAAAATGTTGCCATCATCAGTGCTAGAAATGTATTATTTTTTATATTTTTGATTTTAAATAATATTAGTCACAAGTAATCCATTATTATTTGATTCAGTTTACAAAAAAATGTAATTTATTTTATTTTAAAAATCTTGCATGAAATTTTGAAACTTCATTATTACTACATGAATATCTACTGAGTGGAAAAGGAAGCTTGACTCCCTTGATATTTTGCTTGGTCAATTTTCATAATCGTGTATTATTCAATTAAAAGATAAAGAACTCTTAAATTATACTATAAGAACCAAATATTAAAAACATTATTTTTTATAAAACAAAATATGTAGGTCATTTATTTCTTAAATTTATAAATAATATATAAAATTACTAAAAATCTTATTTTTTTTTTTTATGAGGCTCTATTGAAATAATATTTTTGAGGATGTCAACTGATTTTATTCCTACCAATCATATATAATTTTTTGAGTAGCTAATAGGTTAACTAAAGGGGCTTAGCTCCTATTTGTTGAACTTATAGCAAGGCCAGTTTTCTGGCTGAGAACTCTGGTTAACACTGAGTCTGTTGAATAGATAGTATAATAGAATATTTGAAATCATATTATATATATATGTAAGTTAAATAATTATTTGAAATTATTTTTTAGTAATCAAGTTATAATTATAAAATATATTACAAAAGAAAAAAATAAGTGGAATAAAATTTGTTCTTAATATTATCTTAATATAATATTTTAAGTATTAAATGTATAATGTAATAAAAGTATCAATTGTTTCAATAAATAACATTAACATTTTTTTGATAGGGGAGGTTTATTATTCATTTTTTAAACAATCGCTAAATATCCACACCCATATAAATATTTCTAGTTATAAATTTGATTGTAAGTTTTTTTCTATTTTATTATATTTTAAGTACATTTCTTGAATAATATTATGTGCTTCATCATAGTAAGGATTTAAAAATGATTGAACACGAAATTTCCATTGTAATAATGCTGAACGACCAACAAATGGATCAAAACCAGACATTTCTAAGTTAATAAAAAATCACAATTTATTCGATAATGTAATAACAAATAATATTTATTTATTTTACTTGTTTGTTCAATTTCACATGTTGCCAGAATATCTGCTATAGATAATGTATCTCCACATAAAAATTGTTTATTTTTCAGCCATATTTGATCCAATTCATTTAGAGTATTAATCATTTTCTTCTCAAGATTAAAAATTGATTTTTCATTAGGTGATTTCCCAGTTATTAAAGGATCAAATACCTTTTAAAATTCATTTTTTATATTTTTCATAATTAAGTTAAAATTTTGAATTATTTTTGTAACTTAAGTTTTTAGTAATTGAATTATATTACTCAGATAAAGTTTAAGTAATACATATTAATTTAAAAATTTAATTTTATGATACTTACTTTTTGGCGAGCATAATTGGCACAACAAATACGAGTATTTGTATGCTGCCATTCTAAATATTCATCAACACGAGCTTGTAATTTTAAGTCCTTAGGAAAATAGTGATCTGGTATATTTGGCCTAGTTTGGCATATATAACGAAGGATGGCAACACTAGATATAAGAAATATTTCATAGAAAACTTTAACTTAATAATTATTTTACTACTAAGTTTAAAACTATGTTCAAGAAAATAATATTAAACAGTGTAGCCTATAATAAATAATAGTAAGTGAAATGTAACATATAGTATGAGACAATGTTAAGTAGCATGTCTTAAATTACAAGATTTTTCTATTAATTAATATTGTTAAGAAATAATTTTATTGATTAAATATATTATTGGTCTTCACTATGATAAAAGAATCTCTTTAAGGATTATAAAGCTACCAAGAAAGTGAAAATTTAACATAAAAAGATTTCTTTTCAATTATACCTAAAAAATAAACAATGATATAGGTTTCATGTTATATCTTTTATATGGAATAAGAATTTTAAATGGGGATAATTTATAATAGGTGGAAATTTTGTCAAAATTTAAGGAGACTAAAAAAATGTCATTTATTTATTCAGACTATAAATGCTATAAACAGCAACAAAAAAAACATCGATCACTCAAAAATCGGATTAGGTAAAAAATTTTAGGAGCTTAGTCTTTTTAAGCCTTTCCTCATTTCTGCTGATGATTACTATTTCAATATATTAAAATACCTTTTTATACACCAAATATTTAAATAACAATATAAATAAAAACATTAAATACTGAATAATAAGGATTTGTGAATTTGGCACTTAGACACTTATTATTATCTATTTAACCAGTCATGCTCTAATAAAATCCGTTATTTTAAGATATTATTATCTTTGAAATATTCTAATTTAATCAGTAAATTTAATACAAAATAATTAACTATTTGATAATATTCTTTCAGTAGAATGAAAAAATTGGTCAGAGTGAATTTTCTTTTGAAAATAATGAATTAGGTTTTATCTAATCACAAATTTTTATAGCTAATTCTATGGTTAAACTAATAAAGTAGTACTGCAACTACTAAATTGAAAGATGTTTGTGAAAAATGCTTCTGCCTTTTTTACCAGAGGTTTAAAAATAGTGTTGACTCAATCAATGAATATTGGTCTTAAGGCCTGTGTGCCTGGCACATCCAGCACATCTTGCTTTTGCAGTACTGATCTTAAGATTTGAAATAATGTGCACTTATGTGCTAAAAATTTAAAAATCGAGTTAAAACCAGATATATGTTTTAGGAACTAGGCCAATAAAATATAGAATATTCTTTGTATAATGCCAATATTTTAGATAACATGTATGGTATGTACTAGTTTTTGTCTGAAAACAGTGAACATCTTTGTCAACTAATGGCTTTAAAACATAATTGATACATTTATATATATCTTATAAATTAATTATAATTTATAATTATAAATCCTATTAATATGATAATTTTAAACCTTTCAGTCAAAATAAATCCATTGTCATCGATAACTGGTACCCTTTTGAATGGATTAATAGATTCAAATGATGATGAATAATGATCTCCTAAAAACATTAAAATTATTATGTTTTAGTTGAATATGAGTAAAAGGCATTGTAGTGGATGATTTTTCTTTCAACAATTTTAGTGAGTACATATACAAAGCTTAAAATACAAGCCTATAAGTGTGACCCCCTATATTTAATTTTTCGACAAAGGGTTGAATACAATTAATATTTCCTTTGTACATTTTTGCAAATATGTATGTGGTCACATATACCTTGAAATAAATTCAATGTTTTTCCTTCGAAAAGTATGTTATTCTTTTTTAAAAATATGTAAATAGCTCTTGATGGTTGAGATATTAAATCATAATATAACTTTAATTGAGTCATTCTACTACGTCTTTAAGTTTTACCTAAATATTTTATATAAAATTATGTTTTGTTGTACAAATTATGATATAAGCTTTAAGATAGTGGTAGATAGGTTACGTGCCTATGTTGACTAAATTTATGTTAATATAAAATAAGAAAGTGGTGGGAAATTTCAAAAGTGATATTTCTCCGATGTTTTTATCATCAGTTTCAACAACTAAGGCGAAATTAAGCGATTGATCTCTTATCATAACCTTCAAACATCATTTTCTAATAACATATGATTAGCGCTCATTACATTTTTGTAACTCTATATATCTATCTACTTGAAATTGATTACTTTTCTTACCTTTTTAACGTTTGTTCAATATATTCTAAGAATTGAACAATTTCATTAATCATGGCACTAAGAATATTCTACCGTAAGTTTTCTACAAGCAGACAAATGCGTGCAATGATTGATGAACAGTTCACACCAGAAAAATTGAAAGACTACTGTAAACCAGGTATGAAGAGCTTACATGTGTGCGATAATTATTACAGTCGTTTTATCTTTGCAGAAGTCATCCAAGGAGTAAATATGTGGAAAAAAATTACCCTTTTCTTTGCATTTCCTGCTTGTTTACTAGCTAGCATTTATTGTATAAATGGTCATATTGAACATGGCAAACATGAAAAAAGATCAGAATTTATACCTTATGAACATTTGCGAATAAGAACCAGGGTAATAATAAATGTAGTCATAATTTATGTAAATATCTGTATTAAAAACTGGTACAACGTTATTAGTGCTTCTTTTGAGTTGCTATAAGCTATAAAAATTTCTTATTTTTTCTACTGTATAGTTATCTTATTTGAAACAACGGTAAATAATAAAAAATTGAGCGTCATTATAACATTTTTGTTCGTTTATGCTTCTATTTGAAAATATGCTTCTAGTAATATCCATACTAATATTTATTGTGAACTGTAATCGAGTCTTAATGTATAAGTATTGGTGAATTTATTAAACAATTAATTATTTATTATATTGGGTTATTTCAGACAATATATAGGGTATTCAGTAAGAAAGAAAACAGGTCAATTGTTACAAACAATAAGAACAATAGAAACACGTTTACTTACTTAATGAACACTATATATGAATGTTGTATAAATAAAACAATTTTTTTCTTTATTATTTTAAACCTTAAGTATTTTTCCTTGGATGTTTTTTTTTGGTTTCCATATTCCTAGGCTTCCAGAAAATTTTTCAACAAAATATGTAGGATTGGGTTAGGTTCATATATTTTGTATTTTTTTTTAAATTTCAGGTGGAGGAATTAGATTTAGAACCCCAGAATATGGCCATAACTAAGTTATACATCTTAGTTACCTAGCCCTGTATTTATTGAATACTTTTAAGTGAAAAGTGAAGTTTTAGTAACAAGATTGTGTTTATTTTTATATATATATATAGTTGGTACCAAAAAATAATGTGTTAAATAAGAATTTTACGTTTTTTATAAATAAGTATTTTAATTATTTTTAGCGTTTTCCATGGGGTAATGGTGACCAAACACTTTTCCATAATCCAAAGTATAATGCCACTACTCAAGGTTATGAAGTTGATGAAGAATAATCACTGGATTAAAGCTACTCTTTTGTTAATTATATAGCGTAGATCTTAATATCTAGATTACTTTATCAAGAACAGTAAAATAGGTTAACTTCTAATAATACAATTTTTGAGAAAATAAATAACATGATAACTCATACATACAATATATTTTTATTTGTATATTTTAAATATTATTCTTTAAAGTAAATTATACATTAAAAATACCATTAATTATTATATATGTTTTACATAATATTGTAGTTATATAACAGTTCCTTACTTTCTAATAGTACATATTGAATATTTAAATTTAGGTTAAAATAGGTTTAATGGATTATGAATTATATAGATCAACACCATCTCATTTAAAAGGAGTATATCAAATTTGTTCAAGAGCAAATTAAAATAAAGCAAAATATTCAATTTTCAAAAACAAATATTTATCATTATAAGTTGTCCATCAAAATACACATAGTAATATCATACAATTCATAGCTTTTGCAGTTGTAGTTGCTCTCATATCTATTTGTGTATATCTTTATAACAATTAAACACAAATTATTATATATTCTAGAAAGCATCTAAAGATCATGTAAGTACTAAAAATATTGTTATTTTTTAATATTTATAGATGCCTTTAAATCAGTGAATACATAGAATTTTTTCTTTAATTTTGATACAAAAGTACATTTTTAATATTTAGTGTTGTAGAGAATGATTAATTTATCATTAACTAATTAATAAAGAAAGAAAGAAAATTAATAATTATAATTTTTTTATTAGTTACTTATTATTTCAATTTTTTCTTATATTATCAATTGAGTATTTTTTATGTTTATCCCTTTTGTCTTATAAAGTTATATCTAAATTTTTATAATACAATTAATTAGCTTATTATTAATTAAGAAAATGATCAGTCTAAACAACTTTTGAACCAATACTTAAGAAATTTTTACATTTTTATAGCCATGCGGCAGAAACGTCTAGTGATGAAAATAACAACACTTTAGCCACATTACCGGGCATTTTCTTAATTAGTTTATATAATAAATAAGCTAGTTAATTGTGTTTGATGCCATTTGAAAAAATAAAGTTGATATTATTATATGGTTTAAGGGTTATCATAAAAAATACTTCATTATAGATAAATCAATAAAATCATAAAATTTAAAGGAACCAGTAAAAAGTTATTATTTATTTTTATTAATTAAATGAGTCACCCTGTTACCTTTTAAACAAGATAGCATTGATATGAACAATACATTTTTATAGACATTTAAAATATGTAATAAATTTTCAATTATAGTTATAAATAGCAAATTGTAAAAAAATTATTTAAAGAGAACATTATATAACAAATCAAAAATATGTTTAATATTTTGGAAAGTTGTTTAAAAAATTATCTTTTACAAAATCACTACAATTTAAAAAATCAATAATTAAAATTCCTCAATAGAAGATTTGGTAAAAAAAAAAAAAAATGAGATATATAACAAAAGTTAAAAATGTAGAAATAGTTAGTGCTTAGATACATGAATAGATATAAATAAAATTTATGTACTTAAAATTATATCAATTAATCTATATTTTTGGATGTATAAGGATAATAAGTTATCTAAAAATATATAAAGATTCTAAACAAGTATTATCACAATATTAGTAACTATTATGACTTTAATTTTAAAAAATTACAAAAAATAACAAATAAAAACTCAATATTTTAAATAAGTTAGAAAAAATAAAAATACTTTATACTGGTCAGCTTAATGAATTATTCAAATTATTATTAATTATTTAAGTATATATATATATATATATACACTAACAACAGATGTATGTTAATGCAAAATAACTGAAATCTCTAAATAAAACTAAACATGAACACATGATATATAAATGACAAACAGTGGTCTGTACAAATATTATATAAGAAATTTTCTTCTAATACTAAATTTTTAAATATACACTAAACTAAATAAAATTGTATAACCGTTATAAATTGAAATAAAATTCTTGTAGTCACAAGAGAATTCCTCTAAATCACCACCTACAAATTTTACGATTCCAATAAATTATGTCGACAATTCAGAACAAATTTATCATAAAAATAACAAACTACACTTTTTTTTAAAAGGCGTAGGTGGCATGTTCATTAACCACTTTCTTAGACCAATTAACACCACAGAAGATGTTACTAAAACAGCACCAACCAAACTTAACCAACTAGGTATTTCATTAAAAAATATTATTTGCCAAGCAAAAGCAAAAACCACATCAATTGACCTAGCAATAGCAACTAATCCTGCTTCTTCAAGTTGTGCAGCAATAGTTAGTAACATTTGTCCAGCAAAACTGAATAAACCTAAGGCAACAAATAAAAGTCTTTCAGTTCCACATTTGGGCCATGTCAGATTACCAATTGCAAGTGCCATTGTTGAAGTTTGTAGGATAGAATAGATAGCAAAGCACACCATAATGACACTAAAATGAATATTCTTCAATGCCCTGAGTAATATGTAAACTGTAGCTGAAAATAGTGTAGATAGCATGGCAGCTATTGGACCAAAGAACTGATAATGATGGCTAGATTCATTGAATAAAAATGGTGGTCTTGCTATCAATAATGCTCCAAACATTGTTAGAAATAATGTAAAATAATGAAAGAGACTGCATGGTTCCTTGAGAAATATTTTAGCAAATATTGTAACTACTACAGGTACACTAAATATAATAACTGAAGCATCACCCAAAGGCATAAGTCTAAACGCATAATATATCAATGTTAGTGAAGTGGCTCCAGAAAATGATCGTAATAATAACATAATTCGTTTACCTTTAGGAAATGGATGCTGTTTTTTATAAATCAATATTGGTATGGTTGGTAATAAAATTCCAATAAATCGTACAGTTGCAAGTTCTAATGGATCTACATTATGAAGCCATTTTACAATTAAAGATGTGAGAGAAAAGAAAAATGAAGAAATAGCAGCTAATAATATTCCCCAAAAATTTACATAATTTTTTGGTCCTGGTGATCCTAATGGTGTTGCTGGTGAACTTGATGATGGCGTTTCAGAATTAACAACCAAACTACGAAGTTCCAATTTTTCTGTCATTATTAATAGTTAGTAAAACATTTTTTAAAACAAATATAAATTATTTGTTACAGATTTTTAAGTTATATTTAATATCTCAAATAAAAATATATAATATATAGATATATTTTTTATTTATTTAAATAATAAAAAATAAAATAAATTGTACATAGTCAATAATATATGTAATAAAATATTCAAAAAAAAAATGTTTTCAGAAATTAACTTAAAATAATGTTTGAACTATTTTCAATTAGGTACTCACACTACGATTATCAAGTTTAAAAATCACTTAAATTAAATACAAAACTAATATATTAGTATTTTAATTACAATATGATACACTATTGCTAACCTACAGAAATTAATTAAACACAAATATATAATTTAATATTAAGAACAATAATAAAACTATTAAACTTGAACTCTTGGCTTTAATATATGTTATCAACTCTTATTGATTATAATATATTATCAATTAATTGATAAAGATTTCAAATAACCATTGAAGCATGGATCATCATAAACTAAATTGATAACTGACCTGTATTGACTGAATTCGCCGGTGAAGCCAAACATTTGTTTTCCTGTACTTCCTTCGTATACAAATAATTATGTCTCGGAGTAAAAAAGTTGATAGCAAAAATGTTTGTGTGTAAAGCACAAACTAAGGTAAAATGGACTGGACACGTCATAGTTGGTGGGAACGGGTAGTGCGATCGGTTTCGTTATATAAATAGTATAGAAGGAGAAATATTCGATGTGTAGATTACATAAATAAACTAGAAATTATAATTTGAAAAATAGAAACTTGTAAATAAAATATAATATAAAATTTTCTTATGAAATTATTTAAATAAATTCTAAATAATTTTACTTCTTTTCACTCTTTTTGCGTGTTCCTTGACAAACGGTTTTTTAATTAAAAGAACTTTCTAGAATTAATAAACACTTATATTCCGCAAATACCATCTCAAAAATATGCGACGACCTAGTTTTTTACTAAAAACGGTTAAAAAAAAAAATAAAAATATTTATTATAACATAATACCATTTTCTTTAGCCTCCTCGTTGAAAAAAATGTCTAAATTTGTTCCTTCTGGCAAGATTGATTAAAATCTCTAAAAATTGTGAAAAAATGGACTTGTACGATAGTATTTAGAAGATAGAGAGGAGATATGTTATACAGTAAATTTTATTGACTTTATTTGTGAAGATTGAAGTCAACATGGCGTAATTCAATTAAATTTATTCAGAAAAGTTATGACACTTTTTAATACAAAATTTAAGAATTCAATAGTATGAATATAATAAAAATACCACTTTGGTTTGTCGTACCCCAACGTAGACACAAAAATTAATACACAAATTAACTAATATTTTTGAAAACTAGTTCGTCGTTTTTAGCTCTTTTTGAGCCCTCCCGTTGGGTATACTGGTCAGCCCTAATTCTTCCAATTAGTGAACTACTTAAAGGGTAGAGTTTAGACACGTCAACACGGTCTAGCTCAAAAGTAGCAGACTGTAGGGTGGCTACTAGTAAGCCACCAGCCAACTACTTTTTCACTATACCTACTAAAGGACGGTTAAGACCAAAAACTAGCCAGCACGCACACTAATTATTAAGATCGACTAATGAACCAACAGTCCAACCTCGACTCATGCCGCACACACATACAGAATTTTAACAGCACGGTGGTTATAAAGTATTTACGTACAAGTGCAGGTTTTTAAATAGTTATTTTCTTTAACGTAATAAATACAAAGTAAAAATGTAATACAAAATAAATTAAGTCGTGCAAAATACAGAGTTACTCGCACCAAACGTCCTGACCCGTAATTCAATGTTTTTTCGTCAAAACGTCAATCCCCTTATACTTTTCACGTTTCCCTTTATATTTTTTTTCCCACCATTATTAATTTGTTTTCCCTTTATATAAACATTATAGCTTAAGAATTTAAAAATTGCTTACTACCGTGGTAAAACTTATATTATACTAATATTGACGTTATTTAATACTTCCTCAGCTATTTATTGCAGGTTCTAACCCTTCTCTATATGAATGAAAATTTTTAGAACTCAATAAAACATAAAAATTAAGTAGGGTTTATGTAAACTAAAAAAGTATAATTATAATTATAATTTATGTAATTCTTAAGTGTACTTCTGAGTGAAAATTAATTTTTAGATTATTTACGAAGATATTTTCTAAGTAAACTAAGAAAAAACATTTTCCATTGCAGTTATATGAAATATGTTTTTAGTAAATTTATTACTAAATATTACTTAATGTATTTATCCATTTGTTTAGTTTTGTTTTTAAGTTATTAACTTTTAATGTTTTGATATAAATTCATTTAGGCAGGTTTTAGAATAAAAATATTCTATACCCGACCAATTTAATCAAAATGTTTGAAGCTCAAACATAATTTCTTTCTTTTACATTATTATTATCAATAAAAATTACATAATTTTTTATTTTGAAATATTTTTTAGAATAAGTCTACTATCTTAGGATTACAATAAAAATAAATTGTACACAATTTCAATGTTATAGATTTGAAAAAAAATATAGAAATTTATACTATTTATAAGTTTATTAAGGTGATATGATTCCAAAATTAAAAAAAACTACTTTGGGAATATCTTAAGTAGCAAACCTACAAGCTCAGATCAAATGTTAAAAAAAAAAATGTCCACAAAAAGGATGTTTTATAACAAATAAATTCTACCAACTAAAATTTATTTTTTAATGTAGATTCTTGTAAATAAAACATTAAATTAATTGTTATATTTAATACTTAATTCATAACAAAAGTTTCAGTCTTTCTTTAAATATATTATAATATATATAATAAACAATAATACTTCACTTAAGTTTGTTTGTAAATATATTAAATAGTTAAAAAAAACTTATAATTTGATACTAATTATTCGTATAACAATTTAAAGTAATAATAAATATAAATGTAATATTTTTATAATGGTTTATGGTTTTTTCTGGTACCTGAATAATGTTCTCTATAGTTAATAATATCACCAAGATCATGTTGTTTGAACTTTTCAGCAACTATGTTTATTAAACAACTGTATCTTAATACTGACACATCCAAATGATCTTCCTAAACAAATAATTAAATGCATATAAATATTATATTTATACATATATACAAATTACTGTCAAACTTAAAAAAAATTGTGATACCGTATTGTATCAATTGTTAAATGAATTAAAAATTGAACAACTAATAAAAATATTCCATATTTTATTTTATTAATTAAAAATAATAAATATATTATCATTCATACTTTATTCTTTTAAACTTTTTGTATGCTAGTAATAATATAATAAATAAAGCTTAGGGTTGATTTTAATACACGCAAGTTCTTAAATTCTTGAATTTTTAGTCTTAAGAGCAAANTTTTCGTGTGAAAATTCTCGATTTTATTATTTATATTATATTTAACTTTATAATGCTATAACTTATTGAAAAGTTTATGGATCTACACAATTTTTTTATGACAAATAATATTTTTTAATAAACCCTGTTTCATTTACCATACTTTATCTTTATCGAGATATTAATAAGGAACCAGCAGATCAAGTAGCTTTTGGAATAAAACACCAATTTTTTTAAAATTAAACACTATCTAAAGATTTGCATCGAAGCGTTTATTTTTGATAGTGATTTTAATCACTGTCAGATATCATTTACTTGATCCAACTATGCCACGTCACCACTGTGCCGCGACCCCCCTGTGCTGGGTTTTTTTTTAATTAAAAATAATAAATATATTATCATTCATACTTTATTCTTTTAAACTTTTTGTATGCTAGTAATAATATAATAAATAAAGCTTAGGGTTGATTTTAATACACGCAAGTTCTTAAATTCTTGAATTTTTAGTCTTAAGAGCAAAAAAAAGTGTCTAATATATTATAATTTATAATATATTAATTTATATTCAAAGATAATAATAAATAATTTATTAATTTATATTCAAATAATTTGAAATTAATCCTTTAAAAAAAATTACTGATGTAGTACTTAGTATATTATTTTAGTTCAGTTCTTGTGTTTACAGGAAAAACCATTCTAGAAGGAGTGGTTTGACTTGTGAACTATCTCCAAAATACGCCTCTTGTCTTAGTGCTCACGTACACTCAACTTTTGTGTTTATATGTAAAGCACAATAGTTAAATTGTATACCACCATTAAATTTTATCTTTTTAATATTTTCTTACAATTATAGATCGAGCATTTATAAAAAACTGTGTAAGAATTCGCATGTCTGATAATAATGTTTCACATGGATCACAATCCATTACTGAATATACAGAGAATGTCCATGATGTTACATCACTTGGTAGAACAACTTTCTTTGTTATCCACTGAACAAAATTGGATATAACATAAGCACAATCTTCCTATAATACAATGTATTTCATTATGTAATGATACTTATTTGTAAGAAAAATATATTTTATGTTAAAAGACTTAATTATGCTATAGTAATATCCACTTTACTGGATTTAATTAAAATAAAAATTAAGGCCTAGTTGTTATACTTTGCTTATGTATTTAGTATCTTCTCAGTTCAACGTGGTTAACTTTAATTCTTATTATAACAAAAACAGAAATTGCTTGTGATATATTAGAATTAATAATGCCTTAAATCAATAAAAATTCTTGACAAAAATAAAATTAAATAATAGTAATTACATTTTTTGTATTAAATTCATACAAAATTTTTATATACAACAATTAAAATTGATTTACTACTTCTATTGGGTAAATGCCCGATAATAGGGGTATATACCGGGTATTTGCCCATAACGATAAACAATGTTATTTTATGCGAGACCTTAAGCGCTAGGTATACTTCACACACTGAACTATTTTGTTACATATATTGAAATATTAATTTATATAACAATAAAATATAAATATTCAATACAACAAACCTGAGTAAAAAATATACATTTATCAATATTGCACACTGGGTTAACAGGAGTTGACGAATTAATTTGTTTTCCAAATAAATAAGTGAACCAAATTGTAGGTGAATATGAAGAAGGCTAAAAAATTTTTTTTTAAATTAAAACACGTATTGAAATTTAATTTTAACTTATGATTACAGTGGAGCCCCGGTAATCCGACAAATGTTTTGCAGGTTAGTGTCGAACTATCGAATTTGTCGGATTATAGAGTATTCCCTAAGACCTCCTATAGTCCGGAAATTTTAACAAAAGGGTACCTTGTAATTCGAAAAATCACAAATCCAAAGATTAGATTTGGTCTTGATAGGCCCTGGTGTGAAGTACAAATCATTCATCAAACCACTTCTTGAAAAGGTCTTTTGTCACCCACGCACTTTTTTGACCATAATAATGTACAGGCAAATCAATGTTTTTGAATCACGTGGTTTATTCGATTTTCCAACGACCATCATTTTTAGCGCGTGTGTACCCACAGCATTTGCACATGGTAGTATGGTTACACACTCTTTACTTACTTTTCGCCCAGGTACGGATTTTTCGTTAAAGGAAACGAAATTTTTGTTTGGTATCATACGCCAAAAAAGTCCTGATTCGTCTGCATTGTACACTTGTGATGGGTTAAGATTTAAATCTTTCACCTTTTGCAAAAATCTTAATTTAAATGGCTCTATGCAGGTAGCATCATTAGAAAGTTGCTCTCCTGTTATAGTCATTAAACGTATGCCATGGTGGCTTTTAAAACGTTCTAACCATCCCTTGCTAGCCACAAAATCATCTTTTATTATAATTTCCTTATAAAAAAACTTAGCTTTCATGGCCAACATGGGTCCCGAAATTGGAGCATGCCTATTTCTTTTCTGAAGAAACCACATGTACAAAGCTTCTTCCACTTCTGGATATTCAGCTTTCTTGAGTGTCTGTCTCTTGCCTGGCCCACAGTCAATAGTTGATACGAAGTTTTTAATCTTCTCATGATTTTTTTTAATATCATAAATTGTAGATCGCCCTACGCCATATTCACTTGCTAAACTACTAAAAGATTCATTATGATTTAAACGGTCTAAAATATCACATTTTTCTTTAATTGTCAGTGTTTTGTGCTTTCGCTTCTGGGCTTGTGACGACATAATTTACTAGGTACGTATACGTAATACACAATGAATAAACAGTACACAAAGAATCTATACTTTGAGCACAATAGTGATGGCACAATTGTAACCTGTTCAATCATGCTTTATCTACATTAGCGAAGATTGTAAAAAAAATACCCAATAATAATAGACATGTCGGATTAACCAGGGGCTGGATTAATGGGGGTCCACCGTATTAAAGATAAACATATAACAGACTTAAAATTTTTTTTTTTTTTTTTTAGTATTATAAAGTGATGTCATTTTGATTATAGTTTAACTAAGAATAATGACTTTTGTGCAAAGGGTAAATGAGGATTATTTACCAATGAATGTTTAGGAATGCTTCTCATATCTTTTTTACAGTCTTCATACTTGGCTCTAGCGTTTTCATATTGTTCAATATATGTTATTATTTCTGCTTTAGTTGGTAGCAAATTTTTCATTTTAATTTCAGGTAGCTCTAACGCTGGCTAAAAAATACCATAAGTGATTAGTAAATGATTATTAACATAAAGATTTAGCAAAAAACACTATTAAATTATCTTAAAAGTGTTGTTTAAGTAAAAATATAAAAAAGTTAAATAGTCGGGATCAGCATAATGCAGTTGAAGAAGTTTTATATTAGAATTAATTGATATTTGAACTTGCTGTCATTAAACACTTTGATTTGTATTTGAAAAAAAATTATATTCATCAAAAATTAAATGATTTTTGATTTAAAAGTTTGAACACTCATAGAGGACAAGTCGCAAAAACATTTTCTTTCTTTTAATTATAAAGTATATAAAATAAACTTTAATTTGAAATAATTTACAATGGTGCAAGTATTCTGTCAAAAAATTATAATATGGTCCGTTTTTACTGTAAACTATATTATTTTTACTTTTAATGTCCAATAACTAGTACTGTAAAAACTGGGGTACAATACACACCGGCCTTAGTTTACAAGCATTAAGAGGATTCCTATAATTTTTAATATAATGTAGAGGGGGTATTATCTGTACATAGGCCTCTTCCTTAATAGTTGTGGTACTACACATAATTCTTAAAAATAAAATTTTCAGGTAGTTTAATTTTTTCATTTTGAAATATATGTATTATCTTTAATTTAATGTAGTTTTAAAGAAGTCAAGTTCTTTGGATTATGAATAATTGAAAAAAAATGTCTATATGACTTTAAAAACTCTTCCCAAGACTTTAGTTTTGATCGGGTTTTTGAAAATATGTCATTAGCAAGGTTTAATAATATTGTCAATAAATTTTTTGCAATAATCCTTCGTTTTTAAAAAATTATTTTAATGTAAAATGAAAAATAAAAAAATCAATATTGACTGTTTTACTTTTATCCTTAATTTTTTCATGACTTCTTTAATTTATAGATTTAACAGCATTGATGATAGGTTACAGCCCTGTCATTCACCCTTTTTAACTTTTATTACTTCTTCTTTTCTATCTATGTATATTAATGAAGTTTAGTCTTTGTATAAATTATACATATATTTATTGTCATAATACTTAATTCCAATTGTTTTTAGAATATCGAATAATTTATTTTACTTTACATTATTAAAGTCTTCTCCAAATTGACAAAGGCAATAAAAGTATTTTTGCTTTTTTTAATTTGTTTTTCTATAAGTACTCTTAGCGTCAAAATTGCTTCTTTGGTTTCCATGTTTGCCTAAATTCAAATTACTCAGATCCTGTTTTTAATTATTTTGGTGATAATTTTAGAGGCAAGTGCAGTGAGATTTATTGTTCTGTCCTCTTCATGTTTTTGCGTTTTTTTCTTTTTTGAAATCAGTACCACAAACCTTTTTCGAAGTCACTAATGGGTTTTCTCTTTAGATATATTTTATTAATTTGCATAATTAATTTCTAATATCTATGTCTATATATTTTAGTAACTTAGCAGGGATTTCATAAACGCCATAAGCTTAGTTATATTTAAGGCCGATCAAATTCTGCACCTATAATGTAATTTCCTTTATTCTCCTTTTCAAATATCACATTTATGTTATCTTCATATAACTCTTCCAGATATTATTTCTATTTTTTTGATCAACTAATAGTAATACTTCACCATTTTTACTTATTCCTGATTTCTTATTCATTGTTCCTGCATTGTATTTTCTTTCACGGAAAAGATTTTTAATTTCTGTATACGCATAGTAACTAATTCTCTTTATAAACATTCTTCTTCTACTATTTTGAACTGATTATCATTTCCACTGAAAGACAGTTATTGATTATTATATTGCTAAATACTTTCTTACATTTCTCTTTAAATTCTATATTTTTTTCTGTCAGCTTTCAGCATCTCAAAATTCCATTTTTTATCAATTTCACTTTTCTTATTATTTTTTTTTTTTTTGTACTTTAGTTGTGGTGTTTTTATGATTACTATAAATATCAACATCAGGATAAATTTTTATATTGTTTAATTTGATTTTTAAAGTGTTGTTTAGTCATAATATAATCAATTTGATATCTTACTGTATCTACTGGCCTCTTCAAGGTTGGATTAGATTTGTAATTAAAAACAAAAAAAATATTCTCAACTTATTTTTAATAATATTAATTCTTAATAAAATATTTTTATCTAAAAAATAGTTGATTGTGATATTAAATTAATTAATTCTTAATACTCTTAATACTTTTATGGACAATAAAATAGCTATATTACTAATGGTTTTTAAACACTCAAATTTGTTTATTTAAATAATGATTAGGTAAATAATACAAAGGGTATCTAAAAAAAAATGAGATTAATTTTTTAAAAAAATGTATTTCTGTTAAATCATTTTATGATTATAATAGATTATATTTTATTTAATCAATACAAGCTCATATCTAGTTGAAAATCATAATCGTTAAAATCTTAATTTTAGATCAGCTAATGATAATAATTAGTCCCTTACAGGCCTACCTATATACTGAGAAAATTCTGGTAAGCCATGAATTTATTAGTCATAGTTATCGAAACTAAATTATTATTAGTTTTATATATTTTAACAAAAATAATTTGAAATGTAATTCACTTATCATGTATTAAATATTTTTTGATAAATACATGATTTTGTTTCCAAATTAGTTGTAGTTTTATTTTTATACTATATTTTATAATCCATTTAGATAAAAATCACATCAGACAATTCTAAGTAAAATATTCTTTAAGTAACTAATATGTGAAATAGGTAATATAGGTACATTTATTTGTGCGAGATAACTAAAAAAAAAAAAATATATTGAATATTCTATAATATATGCACATGACCAATTTAATATATCTCTGATTACCTTATTTATATATATTTACAATAAATCAAAATTATCACCACAAAAAATATATTATTTTATACTTATTAAAATATATTCTAAAAAAAGTAATTTTTATCTTAAGTGTTCTATCTTAAAAGTAAGTTTGTGTTAGAAAATATTGAATACTTACAACAATGTAATCACGTGCATTATTATGATATTTATTAATAAATTGTTGAAATTCTACATTAGTAGCAGTCATAACTGGTGGTAAATTGTCATCTGCTTTTCTATAATTAATACCTTATTACCCTAATTAAAATTTTAAATGCAACAATATAAAATGGAATACCTAGCCATATAAAGATATTCATGCCCATTCTGTGGACAATCAATAGCATCTTCATTTCGAATTTGATTTCTATCAATTGGCAATCTGTATGGTCTACAAGATAAATCATCTCTGAAATAAGAAGCAATAAATTAAGTAGGCAGTTTAATAAAACTATCATTTCTTAGTACACTGAAGAATGGCGCCTCATTTTTGAAGCCTTTCCACTTTTTGATTTGTTACGACCCATTTCTTGACTCTTACAAAATTTTACAATTTTATTACAATTTATTATAAAACATCAATCAAAATCTTATTCAATTCATACTACTGTAAAAATACACATTAAACGAGAAAATTTCCGTATTCGTGATGTTTATTTTATCTGTAAAATCGGCCTCGCGTACGAATCGGGAATATAATAGGTAGGAATGATTTTTTTTTGGTAAAAATTTTATCAGTACAGAAATATTGATAAGAATAGTAATTGATAAAAACGTAACAATTTATTAACATATTTCCGAAAAATGACATTACACGGGATAGTGTTATATCGAAATGTATTACCGAGAAAAATATTCATTGGTAAAGTATTTAGCCGAATTGTATTATAAAATACATTACTAGGGCAAATACTTTTCGGAGGAATTGTCATTATATGTCATTATATATTGTCATAATATGCCTGAATATGATATAAATATTTATGCAAGTACATAAAAATATAAATGTTAGTTTTAAGTACAACTCATCTATGCACAATCGTATTTTAAAATATGATCCCGGGGCATTGGGATTTGCTGCTACATAATCAACTAGTGATGAGTCCGGTACTCGTGTAATCGGTCCAAAGTAACAAGTACATTGGTGGAACGAGTAGGACCGATTACAGTTGGTTGTTACACTATCGTTCCGTCGGTACAAAATACAGTTCATCCCCAAATGATTACAATAGTGACCTGAGTACTTGAGTAATTCTTGCTTGTTCGGGATTGTATAACTACGACCTACAGTAACTGTCTATTTGGTAAACCGTTGACTAGGCCGCCCTCTTATTACTGTGATGGAAAACTAACGCTATGTCTTGGTTTTTTAATAATCTTAAAAAAAATCGGTTACTAGACCACCAATTTTATAACTGCTAATGGTATCCATCCATATTTTAAATTAGTGATGGACATAATCGAATTATTAGTAATCCAGAGAATCTCTTGAAATTTCAGTCGAAATTAAAATCATTTAATCTTTTGATAATAGTAATCGATTATTCTTAATGATTTTGAGTATGTTTCGATTACATTGAATACATTTATAACTTATAACCAAATTATTAAATTAAGTATAAGTAAAGAAATATGCATAAGATGTTTCAATAATACTACGTACTAATGTATAATGTATGTATACTATTATTGAAATTTAAAATATACTAATTCATTTACGAAATTACGATTATTTTACTTATAATCGAAATATCTTGATTATGCCCAACATTAGTTAAAATGTGATTATTCATATCAAAAAATGGTCTTTGGTTTTCTTTTTTATAAGCTAAGCCCCTTTTATGGTCTCTGTTAATTGAGTGTAAAAGATACAACATGTATAAATCAGAGCTGAATTTAGACGCCCCTGGCCAGTTTTTTTGGGCACACCATTGAGCAAAAAAAGTTGTCAGTTTTTAACGCTGATATGAGCACAGGCCCTTTTGGCGAGGTGCTAATAGCTAACAATTTTTATAATGCTAAAAATATAACAAAAATTAAGTGCAATATTTTTGTTATATTTTTTAATCTAGATATTTTTAAATTAGTATTCATTGATAGTATGACTTATTGAACTCTATGTTATAAGTAAAACGCTTCGGTGCGTATTTAAAAAAAAATAGTATAGCGATTTTGCCCCTTCCAAGTACTTTGATTTATGATAGGATTTTCAAAAAAAGATGTTGATAGTTATAAATTATTTTATTTATTATCTCTAGAAATTTTATTTTGATCCAAACATTATTCAAATAGGTAGTAGATCGATTTATTATAACCAAGAAAAATTACATTCTGTATAGTACATTAAATAATCTATAATTTAATTTTGTTTTGATTGAGAATGTAGATGTTGAGTTGCTATGCAAAATACTACACAATTGGCACTTGTTACCGGAAATTGTATGATTTTAGCTTCGATGCGAAGCTGAGAAGGTATTGGTTTTACTAAGATGTGTTTATTTTTTTTTTTTATTTTTTTTTTTTTTT